TGATTTTTAAAATCTATGGATGAGATCAATTGTGGCATATTTTTGTAATTAATTAAAAATGAAGGATATTAAAATACAGGTGAACATGTACTTCTGGGAGAGATGTCCAAATCGGTTACAAATCGATAATTAATTAATTATATCGGTTACAAATTGGTAATTGCTCATTCATTGCATAGTTCGAAGAATCATGCGTGTTGCATTATGAATACTTATCAATACATATGAACATATATGTAACTTATTAACTAATCTTAAGTTCATGGCTTTCACATATGAACATATGGAAACACTTACCTGCACCTATTAAAACTTATGAACACTAAATAATTGACTTTCACATGTAAACACAATAATATATGATCAAAGTGTTTCATTTGTGAATACATATTGACCAAATGTAGATACTGTTTTATGAACACATTGGAACATATATGAACAATATATACACCATATGAACATCGGTGACTACATATATGTTGAAAAAGAATATCCAAGTTTCTTATCATATTAAAATAATAAGTCATCTATAATTTGGAAAAAAATTAACATATTATTTTAGCTATAATTTGTAAATTTTCAGCAATGAGATGCACTCATTGTAAAAAAACCATAACAAGGGTAAATTAATAAATTATACCACAAGCCCGTTAGGAAAATGAACTTTCTTAATTAATTAACTTCACTAATAATAGCAGATTCAACAATATACAAATGTCCATCTATGTTAAAAGTAGCATATTCATCGACCAACGGTTTGACAGAACAATTGCATAATTTACTTATAAACATTTAGAAAGAGCAAAAGAGTTATGAAATCAAAACACAACCAATAAATTTGATTGGCTAATATGAATTTGCATAGTTAACAAAATTTAAGTGGTTAATATATGATTGGGGCTCTACATGTATAAATACACACACACATACTTGAAAGCGTACCAAAATGAATGCAGTGTGATACATCTCGATTATGATGTCGAGAACTCGAGCCTTCAATCTTGATTCATGTTTCCTTCTATTATTTGTCCCTTGGATTTTATTTTATGGTTTTCTTTGGTTTTGAAAGAGCGAAAGAGTATTCGGTTGGCTATCAGTGTTATGTGTACTTTGTCGTAGTATTAGGGTCTCAATGCTCATATTTGTGTTTAGACTTGTTCGTTCATTGATTATCAATTGCTTATATGAAATTCAAACAGTGAGCTTAAAAAAATTGTACATGACAATAACAAGCGGTAAAATCGAATTTTAAGAGATTTAAAGTATACACCATCTATATTTTATAATATACGATATATTTACATATGAATATATATGTGATGGAAATCTTGAAAACATGATTAATAAAATTTAAAAAAATATGTATCGATATTGGTATCAAATTAAAAAAAATATTCATTTTTATATAATCTATTTATTTAAAATATTATTTATATTTAAGGTACTTTAGATTTTAAAAAAAATAGCAAATCTATTTGGAGTTTATTGGTTAGTTTTATAGAGTTTTTTTTCTAAAAAAAGGTTTCAATAGCTTGTAACTTTGAATTATAAAATATTTGCTGAAATAAACAATACAGATATTTAATAAAACATCTTCAATAAATTCTTCAAAATTTCTTCGAAATGGAGAATTAAAATTCAAAATCTCAAATAAATATATTTAACTCGAACAACTTTTCCAATCTGTCAATTAAAAAATAAAAAAATATTAATTTTTATACTTTGATATATATATATATAGAGAGAGAGAGAGAGAGAGAGAGAGAGAGATTTAGGAGAAAATAATATCTAGCAATCAAGATTAATTGATTCAATGGATATTATTAAATAGATATTTACAACAATATTTTTTAAAATAAAAAAACCTCATCCCTCATCTATTTTTTATTCGAGAAAAGACAAAATATAAACAAAAATCAAGTAAAATACAAATTACACCAAAAAAATAATCATATTTTTCTCACTAAATTGACATCGATGTTGATATATTTTTTCAACCATTTTTTTCGTGGTTTTCCGGCTTTTCGTTTATTTTGCGTTGAGAGATAAGGAGTTGAGTTCGGAGGAAAACACTAAATAAATGAAAAACCGGAAAATTATGAAAAAACGAATGAAAAAAATATATATCAATGTGGTGTACTTTATTTCGCTCGATTTTTGTTTATATTTATGAGAAGACGAGAAATAATATAGACCACATAATCCATCATTCAAAAAAATAAAAATAATTTTAGAAATTTAAATAATTACCATTTGAATTTGATAATTAAATCTTTAAACATCTCATTATATCTTGTAAATTAATATAATTTTTAAATTTAATCAATTCATGATATTTTTTATCAAGTTTTATATAAATACACTTTTGCTAAAAAAAATCAAAATTTTCGTCAAATATTACATGTGATATCCACAATAAATTCATACGTGATAATTATAGATATTTTTGTTAATCATATGTGATTATGTATATTTATAGATCTTTTTGTGATGTAAATATATCACATGTGATAATATGTCACTTGCATTCAGATGCATATTATCATATGTGATGTTTAAAAAATTATATAATGGATCATATGTTAAATGAAGCTAATTACATATGATTCAAAATCGTGGATCTAAAAATAGAGAAAAAATGGTATAAAAAAAGATAATGAATTTATTGTGGATATCATATGTGATATTTGATGAAAATTATATTTTTTTTTATCAAAAATGTTTCCGTAAATTTTTTATATAAAACTTGATAAATAAATTACGAATTAATTATAATAAAAAAAATAAATCTAAAAAATACAATGAGATATTTAATGATTTATCCAATTCAACATGATAATTATCTTAAAATCTTATTTTTCATTTTTTATTTATGGTATTTTTTAATTAATGAATTATGTGATCCATATTCCTTCTCGCCTTCTCGCATGATCCTCCGCTCTCTTTCTATATATGTGTGCATGTTTGTGTATACGTACATAATATATATTTTTTTGAAAGAAAATATATTTATATATTAAAATTAAACTTAAAGTATAACAATTAATTAATTTAATAAACTCAAAGTATACAATATATATATATATATATTAATTTTTTAGACTTAATTATGGATTTGGTCCATATGATCTATGTGATCATGAAATTGGTCCCCCGAGTAAAGACAAAAGAAAGAAAAAGACGAAAATCCCCTCAAGATCAACAAAGGAACTAGATGGTTGTTAGAGAAATAGACCAACTCGTTACAAAAATTTTAAGCAATATATATGCATCAACAAATAGTACTCAATAAATAAATAAAAAACAGTTGTTATCAAATACTTTATAACATAGCATACATAAAATCATATAGATCTTAAACAGATCTACATCCTAGATCCATTTACCAATCCAAAGATTTTGTTCATTGCATTTATTTGGATAGTTACAATTTCATGAAGAGAATATGGACATGTAGTCTTGAAAATTCAAATATATATATATATATATATATATATATATATATATTTGGATATTATCACAAATATATCCATTGGCATAATTTCATATATTTAGATATGAAAGATGTATGTGGTGGGCACTTAATCCTCCAAAAGTGCCTTAGCCTCCTCCACAAAATCAACAACTTTTATGATGCAAAGGAAGATCAATTAAAACCCATGCCTAACCAATCTTCTACATTTCAACCACTTATCGTATCACTAAAAGTAGCCTTTTTCCTTGCTTCACATAAAACCAATTGCTTATAAGCAATTTGTATGCATAGCATACATGCAAGAAAACGACAACGTCATAAATTTTGTGTTGATTAATCATGGTCGAGTTTACTTTTGTTTGTGTTGTTTCATTCTGTAAAGGTCGTGATGGTGAGTTTGAGCCTCTTACAGCTCCTAACACTGACCACACACGAGGGTTTTACTTGATTTGGTATGTGTAGTATGTACCGGATCAATGGCCCTTCACGTTTGACCCTTTTATCCGTTGCAGATACATGCGTACTTCAAAAAGATACCATGGATTTAAGGGGTTGTTTGTTTACCTCTTAATAGTTTCATTAAGAGACAACATCTGAATCATTAAGAGGTGAATCTTGTTTGACCAAAAAAAGAAGTTTGCTTCTTAATGGTTTTAAAACCATCTGAATGATTTTGTATCATAAGCCTCTCTTAACCATTAAGCGCACTGATTTCATTGTAAACAATTACCAAACAATTGTATTTCATTTTGCACTATATCATGAAAGCCTCTTAATCATTCTGCACCAAACCATTCAGCAATTGCCAAACAACCCCTAAGTGGGATAGTTGAATCTATGACATCCAATCTCACAACTGAACAAGAGCGGACCTATGAAGGTCCCAGCGGCATCCGGTGCAGCTACTCAACTGATTTTCGCAAGTAGAAATTCTTTTATATGCTAAAGTTTGAGGGGCGCTCCAGGACTTTAAAAAATACAAAAGATATCTATCGAGATGATGGAATTTGGCTAGAAGACATCGGACAACTTTGCAGGCCTTTGATTCACCTTAAATGTGCAATGGCTCGACAAAAACCATGGCTAGATCCGCCGATGACAAAAATCGTAATTGTGAAGCCTTATAAGCATTTGACAGTATGCCACTGATTAATAAGTTGATATGATGATTTTAGTTATGTTGTATATTTTACGTATAAGACGAAATTCTTGTAGTCAAATTTAAATGAGATATTCATATTTGCCAAACTCTTCCTTAACTAATCACATGAAGTTGCTAGCAAACATTCTGAACATGAAATAAAGCTACACTCAACTACAACCCCCTTTACACTATAAATATGAGCCATTCTCATGGTCACATTTCCATCGCTACATCGACGTTAGCATGTTCATAATCCACAACCGAAAACACTTTGTGATTGAACGTTTTCATTCAATCAGCCCTACAGATTAAATACGAATCGAGACTACTTCAAAGTTATACTTAGAGTTCATCATGCTGACGCCTAAAAAGCTCGTGAGAATGGCAAGAAAATGGCGTAGAGAGGCAGCCAAGGGTGGTCCAACGGTGGCTAATAAGGGCCACTTTGTGGTTTACACAGCGGATCACAATCGTTTCGTGATTCCATTACATTATCTTAACAACAATATATTCCGTGAGCTGTTGAAGATGTCCGAGGATGAATTTGGCTTGCCAACCAATGGGCCTATCACTTTGCCTTGTGACTCGAGCCTCATGAACTACTTGGTGTACGTCTTTGAACGATCCCTAACCAATGAATTGGAGGCTTTACTTGTTTCGATTGCTACAAATCGATGTTATTCGTTAGATCAAGGAGGAGAAAATGGTACCCATGTGTTGGTTTATGGTTTCTAATGGAGCCCATTTGGTGCTAACTAGATCGTACCGATACCATGTTTGGTACACAGGGTCGATGATCTTTTGTACGTTTTGATTAACAATAGAACGATGTGCTTTGTACTTATTCTATGATGGTCCATAAAGGACAAATCAACATCAATATCATTCGTTCTTGAATCCTACGGATCTATTTTATGACGTAGTTTTTAGAGAAAATGTTCAAAATCCAACGGCTCGTATTAAAACAAATTTTGTTTATGACGTTGCCCAAATTTTGGATGTTTTCTTTGGTTAGCTATTCGGTTTATTGTTTTAGTTCGAACTGATACTTCAAATTTCTAACCGTTCAACTCTTTTTAGCCAAGAACATACAAAAATTGGATTATGGTTCATGTGAAACTCATCTCAATCGAACTATTTGAAAATGACATTACACCACCTCGTGAAGATACCGTTCGTACGTAGGTAGATTTTGGTAGACAGTATTTTCCATTAACGATAAATAACTTGACAACATGGGTAAAAACGTAATTTCGATGATATATTCTTTTATAAAAATGACTAAAAATCATCTGTTTTTTTTTCTTATCTTCCAATCAAAATACGACACATCATTAAAAATGATTAATTAGAAAAAGAAATATGATTATAATTGATTAAAAAGTTGGTGTGGAAGTGAAATGTGATGGCCACAAATCATGCTTCATAATTTATTTGGTTTCCAAAATTGTTGACACGTCATACTTCAATTGGAAGCACAGCTATGTGTTGGATGTAGTTATTAGGTGGTAATGGTATTATAGATTTTCAGGATATCAAAAACAAAAGCCTTCACAATTGAAATGTATCATTTTAATATAATTATTTTAATATTTATTAAATTTGTATATGACGTTTCAAATGCAACTCATTATATTTGTAGAACCAATGCAACCCAATTGAGATATTTATGAAAATAATGAAAGTTTATTTATTATGATTTGAATATTTATGGAAATGATGATTTTTCATGTATTATGATTTGAATATTTATGAAAGATGACTAGGGTTCATTAATTATGATCAATACTTTATATTAGAATACAATTAAAACTTCTATGAAATCACATGTTCATCAAATTAAATGAACGGTTGGGATTGATTTATATTAGTTGCACAAATATAAATGATTGCATAATAGCTCACCCATCTCTTTTTATATATAGAGAGAGAGATATATATATTAGTGGATGAAAAGTTTAATCAAGTTTATAAAAAATAAAATTACGAATTATATATGATATTATGAAAACCTTTTGATTTAGTTTATTTTGGTTTTTGATGCAATAATATTTCTTATAAAAGATTTGGAAATGAAAAAAAATAATAAAATGTTATGATAATATACATGCTAAATAAACTCAAGTACTCTAATAACATCAGATTTATAGAACGTCAAAATAAATTTAAACGTCCTAATAAACATCTTTATAGGACTAAATTTATATGATTAAAAAATAAAGCTTCTTATCTAAAGGCATGTAATAAGTTTATAAGACGTTTTTTGTTGTCTTAATGAGTTTTTAGTCCATTTTTAATACAAAGTGTCTTATTATGTGATAACCGGTTTGTTTGATTAGAAATTTGGGGGTTATTTCTGAAAAATGGAGAAAAGTTGAAGGGTGAGATCTGAAAATTAGTTTAAATATCCTATGGTTTCCACCACCTCTTATTTAAAAGTATATATGTGTTTTCTTTTATTTCTTTTAAATTATGAAGAAGTGATAAGAATAGAAAGAAGAAAGTTGGTAGATTGTTTTGGTCTCAGGTTTGAATAAGTAGAAGAGAGAAAGAAGAAACTGATTTCATGTTCTCATCTGTTTTTGCTGCTGAATTTAAAGTCTTCATCTTTTTGTGAATTCAAGGTGAGTTTTTACTTTAAAAACATCATTTGATTAGCTGTTAATAAGGAACCGTATGGTTTCGTATTTGAGATGTTTTCGAAACTGTTATGTGCTAGGTGTTAGCATCAATTTGGGTTCTAATATGTAATTATCAATTGATTGTAATAAGGGTGACATAATCAAGATCTGAGTATATATTTTGTAATAAGAGTGACATAATCAGGAGCTGGGTATATTTTGTAATAAGGATGACATAATCAGGAGCTGAGTATATTGGGATAAAGGGTCGCATAATCAATTTTCTGTGAATGATGATCTTTTGCTCATGAGTTATTGTTATGCATCTTTATGATGCAATGGGATTGATTTTTATTGCATGTGTTTGATGCAATGATTTTAGGATGAATTCAAAGTGTTACTTTTATCGTATCCTTGTGGTGTGATGAAGAAGGGTTATTGCATCTGAGTGGTGCGAGGAGTTGTCGTTATCGCATCAATGGAATGCGACAAGTCAAGGATGCGACAAGTTGTGGTGTTGGTCTCAGCTAGATCTACAAGAGTTTAAAGGTAACAGTTTGTAGAAGATGGCGATGAACACAAACACATCAATTTTCACTTTTTAAAATCCTTTATGTATAAAGAAGATCAATATAGAATTTTATAGATCGTTTGAAGAAAAGATAAGATAAAGAACTTATCGAAACAATCAAAGAAACACACAAGATATAGAAAGCAAGAAAGAAAATACTTGCCAAAAGAAAAGGTTAAGAAGTCTTGTGCTTGAGAAGAAACCATTATCTTAGGTAGAGATTTGATCTTCAAGAAGTAAGAATTATTGGCATCAGTTTGCTTCTTCTAGTTTTGTTACTGAAAATGAAGAACTTCTTAACTATTTATACATGTTGCATTAAATGCAACTCAGACGATATAAAGCACGTGACAAGCTTCTAAAGGTGATTTTGTCATTTGTTTCAGATATACAGGCTTTTGCCGTATATGAACAGTAGTCTTTCACAAAGTTGGTATGCACACTTGAAGACAATAGAGTGACTACGTACATGTACTATACTTTGAGAGGTACGAGTTTGTCCTTTACGAGTAGAAGGACAAGACAAAAACTAATTTTGTTCAACAAGATTCATCTGATCGCTGATACTGGAATAATGCTAAGGTGTCTTCAGTGTTCGTTGAATTTTGAGTAGATTTCACACTTTTGTAGACAAGCTTGTTATCATTGAAAACCGCATCAAATCACGAACTTGCTTGTCTCTATCTTCAGCTTCATCTTCGATACCACTGAAGGTTCTGTGGTGTGAGTTGTCTTTCTGAAAAATAATTGTCTCTTTGAGAATTACAATACTTGTTCAGCGATCACTGAACAGACTTAATGATGATCGCCAAAGCTGAATAAAAAGATAGTACACTTTGTAAGATAAAAAGGATCATTATCAATGTTGAGTCTAAAAATGTTGTATTCAAGTCCTTGTACTTATTGTGTTTTAATATACTTTGTAGTATAGTCTTTAAGCTTTGTAGTTTAGTTTTTCCTTGTAAATTGTTGGTATAAATAGGTTGTTAGTTAATTTTAGTTAATGAGTGAATCATTCCCAACATCTTTGAGAGAATCTTGTATATGTGAGATCATTGAGAAAGAGCTCAAGAATACTGCACTTTGACTTCATATCAATAGACATGCTGACATAATCATTTCTGTAAATTTTTGTTCTTGATCTTAATCTAATCTTGTTATAGACTTGAATTTGGGATCTACAATTGGTATCAGATTAGAAAGATTGAATCTGGATTGATTTTGGATCTAATTTGAAGTTGAATTCTTGAAAATTATGTTTGAACTTTCTATTTTGAGTTCATAATCTGTTTTTGATTATTTTGATCAAATTGGTCGATTTTGATTTGTTTTTGATATAATTGATTGCGTCAAAACTGTTTCTTTGTGATTTTTAATCAAATTTGTGCAAGTTATTTCATGAAATTGTGGATTTTTAATCGATCTTGATGAATTTTTGAAGTTTCTGTTCAGAGTGATTCCTTATCGCCCATTGAAGATTTATCAAACGATGATCTTGAGCCTTATCGCCCATTGAAGTTTCTCTTTGAAGTGCTTATTGCTCAAGTATTGCACGGATTCTAATTTTCATCGTCTAAGTGATCTTATCGCCCAAGTAACAAATTTCATCACTCAAATGTTCAAGTGCTTTAACCGCTTAAGTGTTTTCATTGCCCATATAACAGTTTTCATCGCTCAAATATTTCTCATCGCTCATTTGAGTAAATTTTGTTTAAGTGGTTGGTCTTCATCACCCAAAACATAGGCGATAATAGACTTCATCGCCCAAGGCATAAGCCTCATCGCCTAAGTCTTGCATTTGTTTTACCTCTTCGCCTACCTAGTTGGCCGATAACATTGCTTCATCACCCATCTTGTTGAGCGATAACCATCCTCATCGCCTAAGTCTTGGCCGATAACCACTCTCATCGTCGGAAGCTGAGCGATAACCTTTTGTGTCTGATAACTCTTTGTGAACGATAACCAAGTTGAGCGGATTGAGTGTGAGCGATAACTGTTGGGTTCAAGTTAGTGCTTTAATGTTGTATTCAAGTTTCTCCTTAGTATAGTTGTTTTGTAATAGTTTAGCCTTTACAATTTCCTAGTATAAATAGTGATTTCCTTGTAATTGTAATTAACAATTGTCATTAATCTGAATATCAAGATTTGCTGATGTAATATTCTCTCTCTCAATCTAATCATCTTCTTGACAATCTTCTTTCTACCTTTATGTTCATCATGATCTATGAAGATTATATCATGTTTGTATGAAATTTGGACTCATCAATAACTAATCTGAGCGATAACCTTTGGTGACTTGTTGAGCGATAAACAAGCTTTTTGAGGAATTTGTTCAATTTTCAAGAGTTTTATCTGTTTTCCAAAATCAATTCAAGATCATTTTATGAACGATCAGTTCAAGTCTATCTTTGAAAATGTTTAAAGATATGTTGACCATTGGATCTGATTCCAAGCCCCCAGTTCTGGCAGTTGGGGGAATATCAACAATGGAAAGTTCATATGGTACATTTCTTGGATAACAAAGATGAAAAATTAATGCAATC